GTAGACTGTTCTAGTTCCATGTGCCATGTTTGATGGATGTCAGTTATCAGTTATCTCCTGCTAATTTTCCCCAAGGACACATGGCACAGTGGATAAAGGCGTTGGTTAGATCCAGTGACAGACCCAAAGAGTGTGAGTTCAATACCCGGTTAAGGCAGTGAAGAACTTTCAGAGGGAAAATTAGCAGGAGATAACTGATAACTGACATCCATCAAACATGGCATGTGGAACTAGAACAGTCTACCCCAGTGATCAAAATAAAGGGTTCAGTTTGACATTCCAACCACCTGAAGAAGTCCAGAGCATACAACGGCTGAAACATTGTGACAAATATGGCGACAAAGATGAGGACAATAGTCTGACTAATGTAAATACTGTACATAATACCTCATCTCAGAAATATAGACAGACTACATTAGTGTTTTATAAAGTTTTAACTAGACTATAATATTTCCTACCTAAATGAAAGGGGAAAGAATTCTTAAAGAAGGACTGAAAATTATTTACAAAACAGCAAAAAGTTTTAGTACTGAGGGGATGTTGAATGGAAAACTCACATAGGGATGACAGAAGAGTCATTGTAATAAATTCTCTAAGCTTTTAACTTCATATAAGTTTTTTAATCCCTTTGTAACCCCGAGGACCTAAACTGTATTCTCTTCTCAGAATTTTACCTTTTAACAGGAATAAGAAAAAACAAACAAAATATCCATAATATACTAGAAATTTTACCATTTAGAGCTGACTTGGGAAATCTGGGTAGATCGTGTTGGCAAAGAAATGGCACTACCATTGACATTAGAGCCATATAATGCTATTTGTTATCTACTTACTCGAAAAGTTGACAGCCTGCCTTTATGTTCATTGTTAGATATCCTATTTTTTCCTTCTTTTCTTCTTAGACACATAGAATGGACTAGAGATTTATACAAATAATTCTATATTTAAAATGTTATTTTTTTTGTTTCTCTCCTCCAATAAAAAAATACACATAAAATAGTAGAAATTTTACCTTTCCAGCTGACCTGTGAATTCTAGGTAGATTGAGTCAGTGGTGCTACCATTGATATTAAAGGCATGTAAGACCATTGAATTCATACTGACTCAAAAATTGACCACCCTTTCATTCATTCTTAGGTATGCAACAATAAAAATGAAATAATTAATCAGAATTAATAGAAAAAAATACTTTATCTAAATAAAAATACTTCAGAATTCTTAGACAAATATTACTCCTAATATTATGTTGGTAGTAGTAGTAGTAGTATTATTCAGATTTTTTTTTTTTTTTACTCATGCACTGGAGTACATCTCTTAGATTTGGGGCTACTATGAAAGGTGTGATGGATTTATTTGATGGATGGAATCCTCCTTAATATGTGAACTGTACTGAGAATGAAAATCTTCTGGGCTTCTTGTATCTTGATGCTGCCAGGGATGTTGTTGTTATAGTTTTTATCCTTTTCTTGACCAAAATGAGTGCTCCTGGTATTGTTGTAGTGTTCATATCTTACATTCTTTCAATTTCTATTTCTAGATCTTTATATGTGGAAAGTTTTTCTATAGCTTTTAGGGAGATCTTTTTTCAGTATGGATAGACATGTTGATGAAGAAACAAGTTCTTGTCCTTCACTACTATATTAGGTCTGTTGGCCTTGATTTCTTTATCCCAGAGAATAGCCTTTAGTGTAGTTTCATCATTTTCTGTAATGAAAGAGAAAATCACCTACTTTGAAAAAGAGTTTGTGTTTTGTGCATAGTTTCCTGAAGGAAAAATAAAGAAAATTGTTAACAAAAACCTGCCAAGTATCAGGACTACGCTAATGTTCTTTCCTCCTTGACTGGTGTGGCCAATCAGAAAAATTGCTCTGTTAATAAAAGCCATTGTTTTGATTAATGAGGGGTGAATGATTTTTGAGCTTGGTGAGCAAAAGTGTGTTTCCTCTGTTGTGAGTGGAAGGTTGGATTTTTTACCCTATTTTCGGTATTAGTTTGCCTGCTGGGCTGTTTATGACTTTTGGACTTTTTGAACACGATTTTTCAATTGAACTTATTGTTGGCACACAAATTTTTTTTTTTATTGACCCCATTGGTTAATACTCTAACATTTTCTGTTACAGTTAATGGCTCATGCTCATAGTATTTGTTTTTGATATTATAATGTTTACAGATTGCCTTTATGTTGTTGTACATTTGTATATACTCTGTTTTAGCCACTTCTGAGCATCCAGAGACTAGATGGTTGCTTGCTTATTGCATATCCTGCACATTAGGTTGGTGTTGTCTTTGAAGATAGTTGATCTTAATAGACTGGTCTAGAGCAGCAATTATAAAATCCTTCAGTCTTATATTTTAAGCCAGCTGTTCTTTGCCAGTGGATTGTTTGGGCTTGATTCATATCTTTATCATTGATTTGTTTTGTATAATGCTTGTGTAGAGGTTTTTCTTCTCTTTTACTCTTAAGATATTCTGTGAAATGATGTTTGGCCTTCAGTTTTGTTTGAATCAGATGACTGGCTCATTTTTACTATTTCAATTTCTGGTATATTGAGCTCTTTTGTGAATATGGTAGCTTCATGTTGCTTTGATGATCATAAGATAACCATCCTCTTTAGCACTCAAATATGTGTCAAGACTAATGGGGATTGCTCTGTACATCATCTTGATTTATCTAAGGCACATTCTACTTGTTGTTCTTGGGAGGTAAAGCCTACCCTTTAGAGTAGTGCATTTTTTCAACTGTCAGCAGTTTTCTTATTTTGTGGTCTAATTTCTTTAGTTCATCTATCTTTCATTTGATTATGTTGAGGTAATGACTTGGACTGCAAGAGTGTTGATTGAATCTATTCTGTTCATGACATTCAACTTTGATTTGAACACCAGTTGTATCTGTTGGTAGTACTCTTTTCAGATTTTCTCTTTCATCTTTGCCTTTTGTATCCAATCTCTTTCATTCACACTATATGCCTACTTTTGGATAGCAGTAACTTATCAATCTTAATGTTTTCATGTTTTGTTAATTTTTGATTATTATTATTACTGTTACTACTACTATTAGATAGCAAACAATATTGTTTAAATAATTGGAAAAAGAATGTAATAATTATGTGACTGAAGACTTAACTTGATTATAGGTGACATCACTGTCAAATGAGCTTCAAGAATATGAATTCAAATCTTGTTGGAGATTATATTTTGATGTCTGGGTCGATGCTTATTCACTGGAGTCTTATTGGAGATCAATGGATCTGTTATTAAGGATACATACTGGTTGCAGCCAGTGAATGATGCCCACCACATCAACCTGGTTGAGTTGGATGTTGGAGTATTAATCTTACTCTCCATTGGTGAGCATTTGTTATGAACTTGGTAACTGATTCTGCATATGTGCATCAAAAGGTTTCTAACTGGGAAAGCTAGACTGCACACTAAAGCTACACATAAGATGCTCATATGGCAGTGGTTCAACACACTCATAGAGCTCATTAAGAAGTACACTCTGTCTGACTGTAAATGTCTGATTGGTCAAGTCTGATCACATTTGCATGGACAAGCTGACAAGAATCTCACAGTAGAGTCGAATCTGTGAAGCATTCATGTACTGTGTCCATAGAAGCATTATATCCTAGCCAGATAATGACTATCTACTACCAAAGTAGTCATCCTGGAGTAAGGGAGTGTGTCGAGAAATGTTCTAGATGGGAAATAGTTATGTAAGATTAGTGCATGAGTCACTGCATATTATTCAGATGTACTCTCACCTTCCTCCTCCTTGGCAAACTGATCTTGTCCATTTTACTGTATCAAAAATTGTAGTGTCACTCTAAATGATGTCTTTGTTCAATGTGACAGAGTTGGTTAGATATGAGTGATACCTGGAGTAAGGTAGGCATGGATGTCACTCATTACAAGGGCAAACATTTCCTCACTCTTGACTTTGGGCTCCACTGGATTTGCAGTTTGAAGTTTCCTTAAGCATCTGTTCTGCCTCCAGAGTATGTGTCCATCTCTTACAGGTGCATACCTAAAGACAGTCAGATAAATGCTTTAAGGGAGACTTTAAAGATGAAGGCCTGTTCACCGGCAGGTTTATTAAAAGCCAAAAGTGTAAAACTAAAAAAGAAATCAATACACATATAAGGCTAGTTAGTCTGAATAACAAACAAACAAAGAATATGACAAAAGCAGCTGGATGCTTGAACATAGAGCATTTGTTTAAATCGGTAAAGGAAAGTAGCAATTACATTGTTTACATGAATATGAATAAAGTTTGCAGTGAGTTCATGGAAAGGGAGTTACATGAAGGTTACATTTGGGAACAGTAGAAAAGGATTCTTCATACAGAGATACAAATGTAAAATAAGTGTATAAAATTTGACTACATTAAACAAGTGTTCAAATAATAACATGAGTAAACCAAAGTAAAGTGAAAAGGCTTTAAAAGTTACTTACCAATGATGGTAATGTTGGCAGCCAGGAATAATGTACTATCATGGAAGCATTGTACTGGAAAAGATGACGTATCAAGTGCAAATGAACCAGCCAGTGCTATCTATGTTTACTGACTGAATAAAAGGAGTTGACACCATTTCCCCATCTGATTATGAGGAGGTACACTGACCATACAACATTGGAGATCACATCTGAGTGAAGTCTCCCAATAGCCGATGTACTACCAGTTCCAGAAACAGGTGTGTCATAGGTGAAATCAGTAAGTTCTCAGTACTGGTTGATGGGACCCCATACCACATAAAAGATCTCCATTTTGATTTCAGATTAACTTCATTGATGAACAACAGTAGCATCCATGAGTCTTCCAATAATGTGGTGCTGCTCCAGTGCAAGTCATACTTGCTCAATAATCTCTTTGATGACCTATCCACTACTCCTATCATGTCAGATGAGTCATCTGAAGAAGATACTTATATCATACCTGTCCAGAGAAGTAAACGCCAGAGGGGGTCAAGAGTTGAAATCCATCTCCCTACAACAAAAAAAACATGACAAAAAAGCCAACCCCCAGCTTCTATCTATGTGATAAAGAGATCAGGGTACAGCGTGCAATAGAAATCAATCTATCTTCAAAAAGACTGAGGTCATGTACCTGCCAATGCCCTTGGCTCCACAAGGCAAATAAAAACTAAGGCACATTTCTGTTATAATAGAATATGGTTGATAGAATTGTCTGGATGTGTGGCCTGCAGGATGGAATTGCCTTTGAATGCCTTTGATTAGTGTACCTGCCTTTGAATGCATGTATATGAATGTACATTCAGTGACAGTGAACAAGTGGGGGAGTGGAAAAAGTGGATTTGTGGCATGTGAACTTGTAAGTGTTTCATTTTTGATACAATTTCATTGCTTTCTTGTGAATATTAAGTGGAAGAAAAACATTACAGTGTCTTCATAATAAAGCTAAAAAGCATTTGAATGCTTTATTAAAAATGGAAATCAGTTTCTATTAATAATTACTGAGTATTTGAAATTGACTTGACTGCAAATCAAATGAAAGAAGATCGGTCATTGAATTTTTTGTCCTATTATATGAGTAAGGATTTTTCATACTTGGAAGTGTGTGAATGGTAATGATATCTTTTTAATGTTAGGTCTCAAAATTTGTGTTGAATATACATTTTATTTAATTTATCAAGCAACGTTTTAGCAACATTAAGAATCTATAAATCTTTTGGATGAGAAGGTATTCTTTGTCCTCTCAGAGAATCAGTTTTTAGCCAATGAGCAATTTGTATTAGTCACTTTATCTTCATGATTAAAGGCAGACTTTGTGCTGGAAGAGATTCACCTTGATTATCTGTAAATACCAGAACAGAAGCAATCAAGAATGATTAATTTCCTATCTCAATTTAATTATTTCTTTGATTAATTTGATGATAAAATATTTTCCGTTCTCTGAGACGCTTTATTATTGCCAAATAAATGCATAAAGAAAAAGAAAAAAATCAGCATTAAAGCAAACAAACATTTTTATTTGTTTGAACAAAAATAAAAATTGATATTTCTTCAGTGCTGCTTTGGTGAATAATGATTCATTCAAAATATATATGAAAATTAAGCAATGTTCAGCTTAGTCAATCTTAGATGGATAACTAAGAAATGCAAATTGTGGGTACTATTGGGTTGGAAATAAAGTTCCCACACAACTTTTATTTATTAACTATGCTATAAAACAATGCAATGTATAAGGTAACCAAAAAAGTCCTTGCCATTTTTTATGTTGTGTGGGAAGAAGTGATCTCTGATATGCAAATGAGTGTGTCAGGTGATGGAAAAGCAGTGGACATTGCTCTTGACCAATGCAGGTGAATTGCACAAACATATCTGTCATAGCTTGAGCAGTGGCAAGGAAACATGGTGGTGTCAAAGCAGATCATTTGGGGTTGTCTAATTTATGACTTTAACGTAGGCTTGTCTGCAGCCACATTGTCATCAAATATGTCTAATCTTTGGGGATAATGCTGTGAGTGATTGCATTGCCAGGCATTAGATCCAGAAGTTTATGTTGGGTGATGTCCCTTTCTGATGAATCCCATAGTGGCCACCCACATGTCCTGGATTATGAGGCCCTGAAGGTGGCCATAGAGGAGGACAATGCCCAAACCTGTGGTGGGCTTGCTGAACACTTCCAGGTTTCTGATGAAACAGACTTCACCTGCATCACATAGGCAAGGTGTATAAGTTAAGCAAGTGGGTACTATACACACTGTCAGAAGCCAATGAACAACAAGTGACAGCCTGTTTCTTGTTCTCAGTACTGCAACATACCCATATTTGATTGAGTGCTCACTAGTGCCTTATGACACTCCAGAGTGTGCCAGTCATTGGTTGTCTCCCTGTTCCTCACACCGCAAGACCACCTTTAAACCCATGCAAGATCATGCTCAATATCCGGTGGACTAGTCAACAAGAGGTGCACTATGATATTGCCATACTATCATTGTGGATATGTACTTGCAGTAGTTGGAATGTGTAAACATGCACTGAAGCAGAAGGAGCCAGCATTGGTTAATTGCAAGGATGTACTGTTCCTTCATGTGGCATGGGTGGTCAGGGATACCATACGTCAACTTGGCTGGGAGTCACTGTGCCATCCATCTTACTCCCTGGAACTTGCGCCAATAGATTATCACCTCTTGTGACAGTCACTCAAACGTCTTTGCATACAGGAAATTGATTTTTACTGCCAGGGCATTTGCAAAGGATTTTCTCATGAAGGTGGTTCTCCAGGAAATGGAAGAGGTGGCAATCTGTTGGCGCAAGTTCCAGGGAGTAAGGTGGCAAAAGGTTCTGGATGCCAATGGGTATTACAGTATGTCAAATTTGCTGTATACCTTTTCTCCTAATAAATAAAAAATGGCAAGGACATTTTGGTTACCTTGTAGTAAAAGACATATATCAAACATCAGTATAATCAGTGCTATTTTTTATTACCTGCTTCAAACAATAGGGTAGGTCATGGATACCTTTGTAAAATTCAGCCAGCATTTTATTGAAGAAATCCCCAGTTGCAGTTTTCAGTTCATCATCAGCTGTAAGTACTTTTTATTTAAGGAGTTCTGCAGTGCCTGGAATAGATGGTAATCTGTTGGTGCCAGGTTAGGCAAGTATAGTGGGTGAAGGAGTATTTCCTAATCCAGCTTCAAAATATTTTCATGTGATCGGATCATAAAGAAACATGACATCAGTCAATTCTGGATGTTTTTTTTTTCTGCAATTGAGTTAATCACACATAGCAGTTATTGGCAGTACAGTTGAGTGTTGATGGACTGATTGCATTACAGCATTTCCCAGTGAATCACATCCTTTACATCTCATCAGCTTCTTTTGATACAAGTCTGGCTTTTGCATGAGTTTGTGCAGTTGTGCTCTTGTCTGTTCAGCTTCTTTTGTATATCATGTTTGAATACAGACACCATTTTTCATCCGCAGTAAGCACTTTGTTCAGTCAATAAAAATGGTGCTTTTTGGACAGTAATGTTGTGGCAGGTGTCCATGTCGTGTTAACGGTAAAATTTGGTCAGTTTACATGGGATCTATATGTCCAATTTGCTGATTTTTCTGTTTCCTCCAAGTGGTGCAAAAGGCTGTATCGCTGATGCCAAACTTTCCGGCCAGTTCACATGCTATCAGGTGTAGATCAGCTTTGACAGGCACACAAATGCTCAGTATCAATTCATGAGGGTCGACCACCTCTTGGCTGATCTTCAAGATCACCACCAAAAAGTAAAATAGAACAAATAGATACAGTTGAAACACCTTATCCCAAAGAGTCAAATAGTATTGTTAGCAATATTAATACCTAAATACAGTAAGTGGCATGTTCTTAAAAATATGCTGTGATAAGCAAATTACACTGTTATAATTTTTATTAATTTAACATATAAAGAAGTAAAATAGCTTACCATTTTAAAAATAGTTCAATTGAATTCTTCTTGGTTTATGAGCTAAATGAGCAGTAACTTTGTTGTAAAAATCTTACACTGAATCAGTAGCAGCTGCTACTAACTAATGGATGCTATGTGTACTGCCTGACTTTAGTCTCTCCCCAAATTTACTTTATATGTATTCTGGAATTATCTTCTATTATTGTAGGAAAAGATTAATGGAAATTTACTTTTGTGTGTCAGAGCTACAGATTTTCAAAAGTGAATATCTGTTTGCAAGTTTCAGGTGTTCATTACAATAAATTATAAATTCACTCCTTAGAGTGTTGAATTATACAATTGAAATAAGAATAAGTTAAATTTAATAAATAAATGAAAATATTTTAATTTTTTTTATGGAATAAACTTTAAAGGGTAAACAATGCATACCTTATTTCTTAGGATTACATGTGATTGTCTATAGCACTGATTCATTTATACAGAGTAAACTTTTGTTTGGATTAAGACAAGATTAAATTATAACTTCTCTTATATGAGCTAACAAAATATGAGTGAAATGTCCACAGCCTGATCCAGTTCTTATATTCAAATTTCGACATGTGTGTGTGTGTGTGTGTGTGTGTGTGTGTGTGTGTGTGTGTATATGCCAAATTGTAAGTGGTAGGGATTATTCCAATGAGGTCTTTTTAATATAAAAATATTAAAAAGTTAACTCCTTAATGTACAAAAATTTATATACAGTAACAAATAAATAATAAGAAAAAGACTTAATTAATCATCATATACTCAGTGATAAATTTATTTCAACAGTCATATCTGCCTCATCCGAACTCATTAAATGATTCAGCCAGACAATTTAATAAAAATTTTTTTAAAAAATCAGCCAAAAAAATAAAAATTAAATAGCAATTTTAACTTGACCTTAAAAAATTTAGTGTATATTGTAGAGAGAGAAAAGTGGGGGAAGAAAAAAGAAATTTGTATAGGAATGAGGTAGAGATGGGCGGTTTAACCGAAAAAACGACTTTTTGAACAAAAATATGTTAGTTAAAACATTTAAATTGACTAGTTTTAGGAAATGTATTTGTTTACAAAAGAAATGAAGAAAAAAAAAAGAAAGAAGTACAACAGATATGACACTTGAAAATCATGTTTTCAAACAGAAAAAAGGAAAATACGACATGATATCTGAAATCTATTTGTTTCAGTTTTCAAAAAAAAACTTTTTGTGTTAAAATTAAGTTTATTAAAATTAACAAAATAGCGAGTAAAAATAAAAAAAATAGTTGCCAGTTTCGTAATGTTAAATTTTATGAAGTTGAATTTTTTGTAATTAATAATAATTGTTTTCTAGTAAGTACGCCAATCATGAAATAAAGTTGTCGTAAACAAGAAAAATGAATGAAGATCTTTTTTTATAAATAAATTTGTTTTTTTATCTACTGAATACACCTAAATTAGATATTATTAAGAATAATTTAAAATAGTTCTTAATTTCACTTTTTAAAATGTGTATATTTCCAGATATGCGAGTGTCTAGTCTAAAATTGTTTGTTTTTTTCTATAAATAAAATTATGTTTCTACCTAGCGAATACACCTAAAATTAGATATTAAAAAATAAAGTATGTTTTAATCTCAGTTTTAAATTGTGTATATTTTCAAATCTGCAAGTCATTTTTTTAAAAAACCCCAAAATTATTCTTTTTTAGCCACTAGTGTTCGGTGGGTGTTTGTTACTGTTCTGTCTATAAAATTTTTCTAAACAAGGAAAAATAATTCATTTTATATCTTTATGGCTTTATCTAGCGAATACTAGTCTTAATTTAAAATGATTAAAATAGTTTTTAATTTCTGTTTTAAAATGTGTATCTCAAAAAGAACAGGTGATACTCGCAGATTTGGAAATATACACATTCTAAAAATGAAATTAAAAGCTTTTCATTATTTTTAATATTTAATTTTAGGTGCATTCGCTAGATAAAAACAAATTTATTTAGGGAAAAAATCTCATTGATTTTCCTTGTTTAAAAGAAATTTATTTGCAAAACCACAATAATAGTTGACGATATTCAGTCACCCCCCCCAAGGGTTGCATGGGGCACAAGGCCTTTTTAACGTGGGCATTCCCGAGTCATCCCGTATAAATGGGTTCTGGGCCGGTTTTACCTCCCCGAAGGAGACTCCGCCCTTCGGTGTAGCCGCCTTCGGGTTCCTCCCGCCCGTTCAAACCAAGCAGTCTGTTCAAAAGTCATTGACTGGCATACCAGAAAAAAATTGCCATATTTTTAATTATTTTATTTTTAAACATGAGTGGTCTCATATTTTGGCTTTTTGAAAGCCACATCATAATTTCTGGAGAGCTATAACATTTTCTCTCAAAAAAATTATATAAATATATATATATATATATATATATTCTCCGACTGATGCCAATTCAGCTGGTTTTCGGGTCCTAGCTAGAGGCAACTGGATGTCTAGCCACACTGATGAGCTGTGATTCCGTGAAACAGTCTGTCTGTGGATGACAATAAATATATATATATATATATATATATATATATATATATTATATGACAAATGATATATATAAAAATGACATACTAATCCTTTGTATATACACCCTAAATCTAATCATCCTCCATCTATAATTAAGCATATACCTTATCAAAAAGAGAATAAGTACAAATTTAGCAAATGAGAAGATTTTCTATGAACATATTAATTTCTATAATAAAGCTCTAAAATATAGTGGCTGCAAAAGCCTAAAACTAACTTACATAAAAAATGAAAATGGAAAGCATAGAAAAAACAGAAATAGAAAAATAAGATGCTAATATCTTGAATAAACACTTAAAGCAAGACCAAAGAAACTTAGATAGTATAATAATAAAAAGAGATGAAGATAAACTTATAAATTATGTAACTGTAGAAATCTTCATAACTGTCCTCTTAATAATAAATGTCGCACTGAATCACTGTACCAATGCAATGTCTCATCTATTGAGGATCTAGACAATGTAAAAGTCTACATTGGATACACAAGACATGAGTTCAAGAAACGGTTCAACCAACATCAAAGTTCTTTTAGGATAAATAAATAAATACCAAAATCAGATGTCCCTATTGAAATATTTCTGGCACTTAAAAGAAACCAATAAAATACCTACTGTGAAATGGAAATTAAAAAGTAAAGCTAGAATATGTAGATCATTAAATGACCCATGTCCTTTGTGCATATATGAGAAACTATATATTACTAGGTTTATAAAAAATAAAAATTTACTTAATCAAAGAAATGAAATAGCTATTCTTTGCCGACATTGTCAAAAATTTTCCTTAAATAATGTTTAAAAAAATAAAAGCTGATAAATGAAATATACATATTTATATTTGATATTTAATAATAATTTATAAATAATTTAAGTAATTCTGTTACATTTATTTGTTTTAAAAGAAGTATAGTCTATTTGTAATTAAAATTTAAGAATAATATTTTAAAATTGTAGTTCAATACAACATATTCATATACAAACAACCCTTTTAGAAAAATGTATACATGTACAAATTTAACAGTGAAACAAAAGTTCTGAAAAACTTTTTTTTTTCGTTGATAAAGACCAGATGATATGTGTTGAACGGATGTCATCATTCGTTGGAAATGGCACCCCTACCCTACCTTGACTCCATGTCTTTTTGAAAGTAACTCATATTTTGATACAATAGATGTCAGTGAAAATGAATACCCTACTGCCCATTGTTAAAATGATTGTGTTTCCCTGTATCCTTAGAAACTAATATTAGGAATGTATGTGCTTAAAAAAATCAGTAAATTTCAATATAAGTTATTCCAAAATTCGCTTCAAAATGAAACAGGACTAGGAACTTTAATTTAATTCTATAATTGAATTTGAAGTTTTTAGTATCTGTTTTTGAAACATGGTATTTCCTGTGTAGCAATGGAACCATATTTTTAAATTAGTAAATTTATAATATATATATGTTTTTGTTTTTTTTTTCAAACCTAAACCTATTTTTCAGTGTCTTTTACAAAATTAAAATTACTTAAGATTCTAGAAATGCAATATTCTTTAAGATCCTTTTTTGTTTGTTACAGATCTTTGACCCACAGGAAAGAAGATATGAAGTTCCTCTCAATGTCCACAAACCGTCCAGACTTACTGATATATCAGATTGTGATTATACTGTTTCTTATGTGAAGGAGCCATTCGGCTTGATTGTTCGTCGTAAGTCTACAAATACTATCATGTAAGTAAATAAATAAATATCTTCATGAATTTTCTAGCAATTACTCAATGTACGCCATCTTAGAATACAGTACTACAGCTATAATGATGGATAATGATATTATCATCTATAGATTTATCAAATTTATTTCATATATTTTTCAAACAATTCTATTTATCTTCATTGCTTTTAACACAATCTACTACATACTTTTGCCTTCAATATTGTCTTTCATTGTACTTTTAAAAAAATACTTTTAAAATAAATATTTTCAAATAGAATATACAAGTTTGACTGGTATGTTCTCATTGAAGAAAATAAACTGAAGCAAAAGCGAAACATTACAAAGCAAATTTTAAAAACTGGTTGCAGTATATATTCTTGGGCCTTCTTCAGGTATATTGATAACAAAAAAAGTAAAAGAAAATCATTTAAGTTATAAAATTTAAAATATCACATAATAAAGAAAAACAAATAAACAAAAATTAGATGCTCATCTAAAAAAATCAAATTTGGTATGGGCATAAAATTGTTAAAAACATCATAGACTTTCAAATTAATTTCTTGGCAAGTTTTCTGAATTATTTTTTTTGTAAAATTGTTGAAAAATCTTTGCAAATTTTTATTCACAACACATCACCGTAATCTTGAAAAATACATTGATGTGTATTGATGTTGTGTAAAAAAAATTTCTTTTTAGTTATTTAAATTTAGTAAAAAAAAAATGAATAGTTAAAATGAGAATTAATGTAAAGAACCAAAAATAAATTTCCATAACTCCTTTGCTCTTTTATAAAAGCTAAAATTTATTGACATTATATTAATTGAGTTTACTTTTGCTAAAGTTTATTTTATTTGTTTTTTCTTTTATGTATGTTTGGAAGTTCAAGGAGTATTTTTTGCATGGATCAAGATCTCAAGTAAATGACTTTGGAGGTCATTTGAGGTCATCAAAGAACACAGCATGTCATTTCTAACCAAATAAAGTGGGATATTGAGTTTGATATGAAGTACAAAACAAAAATAACTGTTTTGACCACAAAAGTGGTTGGGCAGATAAAGTCAAATTTTGATCTCTAAAGAGGTAATTATGACTTATATACTGCTCCATTCTTGGAGGTAAATTGAGACAGCAGGTGGGGTAAACTGAATAGAAAAAAATGACAGAATATGTGGTGCTGATCTTAAGTCATTAGACGACACTAGAGATCAGTTTGGGAATAAAATATCTGTTTTTCAGCTAAACAAATGAATTTAAAGAGAAAAATTGATTATTTTTTTCTGTTTGTAAAATATTATATTGCACAAAATATTCCTAGCCAAAAAGTCTTCAGTATTAAACTTAATTTTTTTTCAGATGTTTTAAATGTACAAAATAGTCCCAACCTGCAAAGACTTACAAGTGAGGCATTTTTTTCTCAAAGAATGATGTAGTGGAAAAAAACTCAAAGCTGTTTATTCCTGGCGTGGTCCAGGATCTCTTAGATTAGTTGGCTAAATTCTGAATACCTCTGAGGTTGCTTAGAACCCATGTGAGTTCCTCAATTCTCTGGAGCTGTCTGGTTAAAGGTTAGGATCTTCATTATGCTTCTTAGAAATCCCATCCCTCCAAAGTTGTGTAAGCAGTTTCTCATGTCAACTATCATAACTAGAGTGGGCAAAAACTGGATGTGTTCATTCTCAGATTTGTTCTTTGAGTGCAATTGACATTAAAAAGATAAAAGTACAATTTGGTTGGCATCAATCAGACATCTCCATGCTTACCTAGATCTATGCTGGCCATACTAGATTTGTTTCCCCAACCTTTTTGTATGGGTACCCAGTTGAAGATGCCCTTTTAATTTAAGAAATTATATCATTTGTTTTGGATGTCATTTTTTAAGTAATATCTACTTTTTCACGTATAAATAATTAAATTTTTTCTTTTTCATTTATATTGTGTAAGAACAAATATATGAACCTATTTTTTCCTGTGTTGTTATAGGGAAAGTTATTTTTCATGGGCAACATCTGGTATCCCTGCTATATATTATATTAGACATTAATTTATTTTCAGGTTATTTTTTATCTCTATAATTATATAAACTTACATATCTGTCTATATTTCTGAGATGAGGTATTATGTACATTATTTACATTATTCGGACTATTGTCCTCATCTTTGTCGCCATATTTATCACAACGTTTCAGCTGTTGTATGCTCTGGCCTTCTTCAGGTGGTTGGAATGTCGAACCAAACCCTTTATTTCACTCACTGGGGTAGACCATTCTAGTTCCACGTGCCATGTTTAATGGATGTCAGTTATCAGTTATCTCCTGTTAATTTTGCCCTCTGAAAGTTCGCCACTGCATTAGCCGGGTATTGAACTCACACTCTTTGGGTCCTGTCACTGGATTTAACCAACGCCTTTATCCACTGTGCCTTGAGGACATCTGTGTATGAATTTCTGGGTATTATAAAACTAATGTCTTCAGTAAACATTTTTACCAGTGCTCATATTACAATTTTTTTTTTTTTTTTTGTTGCTGTTATCATGCATGTTTTTACCAGAGCTCATATTGCAACTTTGTTGTTATTATCGCTTTTCTCTGGCACTCCTTATTACGGGTTCCCATATTGTATTTATTTCTATGCTTGGTCGGCTCAGGAAATTTTTGTGGCCTAGCATATGTGGGGATTCCTTAAGTTTACAAATTTTCCAATGGTGTTCCTTGTCTATGATCTCAACTTGATCCCACAGTGGGTGGTGATCTCCCTTCTCTCTCCATATGTGGTCAGCCACGCCTGATTTTTCTACTTCCCCTCGTGTTACAGCTTTCTGGTGTTCTTGAAGCCTTACCTTGATGGGGCGGCCTGTCTCTCCTTTATAATTCTTTCTGCAGTTGCATATGATAGCGTACACACAGTCTTTAGTCATGTTCTCCTCTATGGGAGGGGTCTTACTCGGGAAAGATATCTGCGAAGTGTCGTCAAGCTTTTAAAGGTTGTCCTGATGTTATATGGACCACAGATCCTTTGTATTTTCTCTGATAACCCCGTCACATAAGGCAGGCAGACTGTTTTCTGAGTGTTGTTGTCCTCCTCCTCTTGGGTACCCGTTACTATCCCAGTTTTACTGGCAATGCTGCCAATGTACCCAGAGTAATTGTTACTTATGACTTTTGCTTTTGTAAGCAGCGGACGATCCCTTTCTTTATGCTGTATGGATGGTAGGAGTTGAAATTGAGGTACTGTCCGGTGAATGTCGGTTTACAGTATACGGATGTCTTAAATCCATGCTCTGTTCGAGATATTAGAACATCCAGGAATGAGAGTGTGTTGTTACTCTCTTTCTCCATTGTGAACTGTATCGAAAGTCTTATTGAGTTCACATGGTCCAGTAGAACCTGAACATCTTCCTGGTGTGGCCAGAGTATGAAGGTGTCATCTATGTACCTTAACCATATAGTTGGCTTTAGAGATATAGATTCTAATGCCATTTCCTCAAAGTATTCCATGTATATATTCACCATTGCTGGTGATAATGGCGAGCCCATTGCTAAGCCCTCATCCTGTCAATATATGTGTGATTTCATTCCGAAGTGTGTTGTTTGTGTACAGAAAGTCAACATCTCCATCAAATTATCTATTGGAATACTGGTCCGTTCATCTAGAGATGAATCAGAGGCCAATCTGTCTCTGACTACTGAGAGTGCCTCCTCCGTGGGTACCTGTAGTGATGGACAAATCAGATTATTTAAGAAAGCTGGAAGACCTCATTAGCAACAGTAGCTACAGCAAAGTAAAAAAGGATCCTACTATTTAAGGAAAAAAAATCAACTCAAAAATATGAACATATGCATGATAAAACAACATTAAAATGCAAATATTGTAACTATGAGCATGAAACCAACAGAAAAATGTTTGACCTTGGGACAGATATATATTTTTTTTAATCATTTCACCCCAAACAAGGTGCAAACACTACTAGTGTGCAGGGGGGTTACAAAAAGTGAAGGTGAGAGAAAAAAACTAGGTATAGTTTTAAATTGAGGAAAGGATAAAAACTGAATGGGATTCAAGAAGGTAGAAGGTGGTGATTGATGTTGCATTTAAATTTTTTGAAGATTGTAGTTATCAGGGAAGTAAGTAAATGGAAGGGAGTTCCACAGGTGGGAAGTGTGAGAAAAGAAACTGTTGGAGTAGAAGTAGCAGTTACATTTAACTATTTCAACAGTAAAAGAGTGGGATATAGATGTCAATCTAGTAGCATGCATGTAGTCGGGGCACCAGGGAAAAAAGCTCATCAGAGCAATTGCTATGAAAATATTTGTAGAAAAGACAGAGGAGAACCATGTCACAGTGGTAAGAAAGTGACTGAAGTCAAGATGCCAAGTCATTGCAGATGTAAAAATTGTAAAGAAAAATCATTTTCAATTGCTGTGTAAATTGAAAAAAGAAAAATATAAAGAGTGTTAAAAAATGGAAGCCACTTTAAAAAGTGAAAGTGATGTTTTCTCAATGCAGAAGGATAAGAAAGAAAATATCTTCATGGAAATTAAATTGAATGGGGCAAATTTAAAAATGCAAATTGATACCAGCAGCAATGTAATGCTAATTCTGAAGAACTTTTGGGAACAAATAAGTAAATTGAAAATATATAGAAGTTATTTAAAATTAAGACAGTTTGATGAGTCATACATAATGACATTAGGATACTTTGAAAGAACATTTGAAATGAACACCAGGATCAAATTTTTTACTACTGTAGTTGTGGATTGTAATAAAAGTCATAATAGTATCATGTCTAATTCATGCTATGAATTCAGATAATCCTGAAAATGGAATGTTAAAAGATTATAATGCAAGTATTAAATTGAAAGAAAATTGTAAATTGAATCTCACAGACTTACAATTCACTTATTACACCTGATAGTTGCAAATCTGCGTAAAATAACTGAACAAGGTATTTTGAAACATGTTTCTCCAGGTGGAAGTAAATGTGCATCACCTATAGTACTTCTGTGAAAGCCAACTGGTG